GAATCCATCAGTAATCCGCGAGACGAATTTATTAAGCCTAATTAATCCGTCATTAGCATATGTTACTGTAGCACCACATTGTCAAATCATGGACTAATTAGGCTTAAAAATTTTGTTTCACAAATTAGTCTCAATCTATGTATTTAGTTATTTTTTTAGTCTATATTTAATGTTCCATACATGTGTCCAAATATTCTATGTGATATGGACTAAAGTTTAGGATCGAGAACGAACAGGGCCTTAGTCTCTTCTTTCATTGACGCTTTCCTTCTAAACCACACATAAAGTCCAATGTTGTTGCCTGTCTCTAATGAGAGGTGTCCCAATCACGAATAAAGCTGCCCCGTTCAGTGGGTTAGGCCCGGTTTGGTTCTAAAATTCCTGTCACATCGAATGTTTGGACACATATATAAAATATTAAATATAGACTAATTACGAAACTAATTGCACAACTTATGACTAATTTGCGAGATGAATCTTTTAAGCCTAATTAGTCTATGATTTGACAACATGGTGCTACAGTAAACATATGCTAATGAAAGATTAATTAAGCTTAAAAATCATCTTGCAAATTAGCCTCCATCTATATAATTGGTTTTATAATTAATCTATATTTAATGGTCCTTATTAGTATCTAAACATTCGATGTGACATGAATTTTATGAGCGTAGAATAATTCTGGGCTTGTTTTTATTCGAGGAACCATTTTATTCTAGATGAAATGAGAAGAGCTCATCCGATGATTTTAGAGAAATGACTCAAGTCTTCATACTTATATTAATTATTATTAGCTTTGGGAAATGACGATGGATCAACCAGTTTTGTACTTTCCACTACCAAAAAAAAAAGAGAAGCGGAAAGGTAATGGAGCTAAACAAACATCTCCGTCAACCATTAGTCACGTTAATATTGACTTGGGTAGGTCCAAAACGAGAAATACGCGCATCATGCTTTCATAGGTGCTTCCAGCTGGTCATCTCCGTCAACAACTCACATTCATTGGTCATTGCCCTGTGATAAACATGTCTTTGACGCCAAGAGTTGTCTGGTCGTTGATTATGGTGTGCTATCGTCCACATCTACAGGCCGGACATTTTACTTTTAGTTCGTGTGTACTCCACATATTTTTTACTCGCAAAATTTCAATTTCTACTTATGCATTGGATTAGTTTTGTCTGTTTAACACATCCCCAGGCCTCAGCAGGCGGAACCGTCATTTTATGTGTTTGGGAGGGCTTTTTTGAGGAGGCGGAGCTATTTTAGAGAAGCCACGACGACTGCGGCTCCTCTTTTAAATAACTCCTCTTACTAAATCATTTGGTTGAGCTCTTCTGGAGGAGTAGGAACCAAAGAGAAGCCCTACTAAACATGACCTTAAAAGTCATGAGATGAAACTGATCCTAAAAGAAAAAATTGAGAACTAAAAATGACTATTTTAAAATATCAGAATGAAACAAAGTCTTAGATGATATAGTCGAGAGATCAAAGTAACTATTTCGGCTCTCAGCTACTGGCTTAGATTGTGGGATTGACCGAGGGATCGCGTTTGGATCACGCGTGGAAGAATATAGACAGAGGAGACAGGACACAGGAGTTGACGGCGCGTGGTCCCAACTACGGAGAGGAGGTGACGGCGGGGCCCAGGAAGAAGGGGTGTTTGACTATCACTGCCGCACGATGTGAAATATATTTGGACCGAGGACGAGCCGTAGCTCAGTTGGCTTGCTCGCTGTGGTTTGAGCAGCCAGTCCTGAGTTCGATTCATGGATCAACCTAGGAGCCTTACCTCATTGATTTATTCTCTGTTAATAATTTTAGTTGTCTCTCACGCACATGTGCCACAATGGTCAAGTGACGTGCCCGCCACGCTCGGAGTCTGGTGATCTTCAAGCATCTCTCAGCTACGTTGTCTAAGTATAGTTGTACGTTTATTTGTATACCGTGTGTGTGTGAGATGTCCGTGTGTGTGGTAGTGTATGTCTGTATCCGAACAGATACTATAGCTGTACTTAGAGATGAGAGTCCAAAATATATATATATATATATATATATGGACCGAACATGAAAATATCTGTCCATCCAAGAAAGAATGTATATACCCAAAGAGTCTGTAGCCCAGTGGTTATAAGAGGCTTAGTAGCATCTCAGGTCTGTGTGTTCAACTTCCCGTGAATACTTTAGGATTTAACGGCGTTATGCTTTCAGTGGTAGGCGATGTTTCTATCGACAGCGAAGTGACTGTGGTGACTTCGTTAATCTCGAAGATTCGTCGGCCCAGTTTTCGAAGATGCTCATATTGATATGGTTTGTGTGTGTACGTTCATAGTGGACGAGTGTGCGAGCGCTGTGAACGTCTACATTATACTGTGTAATTTAAAAAAAAAGAATGTATATATCTTTTTAAATTTTCTTTAAATTCAACTTGATTTATAGAATATAGTATCAACATTTATATTTCAAATATATTTACTACAAAAATATATTTCAGTACTAATTCAATTATACTTATTACACATCGTAAATATTAATACTTTTATATATTTAATTAAACTTAATTAGTTAATCTTTTTTTACAGCGATATACTGTGTGTTGGGATGGAGGGATATTTCTCTCCCTTACTTTTTCGTCCATCAAGCTATCCCACGGCATCTCACTATCTCCTATCTACATCTTGCCGTCTACAGGTTTTCAATCCAAATCCAACGCGAACTAGGTTTCCAATCCAAAGCCAGCACAATTCAAATCCAACATGAGACCATATTTCGAACAACGTGCATCTAGCCACGATGCACAGTCTAATTTCAAGACGTATTGGAGCAGATGACACAATCATTGTATAAATCTTTGAGCACAAGTCGTTCTGGTGACTGCGCAACAAACTTTATATTTTGTTGCAATGCATATGCATATTTGCTAGTGTATATTGGTCATCACCGCTGGTCCTAAATAAACAATTGGTGATATGGTAAACCCATGGTGATGATCAAGACATCACCATCGGATCAAACGCCGCATTGGTGGTGATGAGCACTTTATCACCGACGGATCGTATGCCAAACCGGTGGTGATGATCCTTTCATCATCGACGGATCGTACGCCGGACCAATGGTGATGAGTCCTTCATCACTGTCTGACCATATGCCGGACCGGCAGTGACATCCTCTTCATCACTGACGGATGGTATGTCGCACCCTGACGATGACGAAGAGGACATCGCGCGCACCACCGGGTCATACATCCGACCGGTGATTATGATTTATTATATTATCACCACCGGTTTTGAACTCTTTTATTCATAAAGATTAAAATACACTAGCGGTCCCTAAACATGGAAAGCGGTGTTATCTAGGTCTCAAACTTCCATTTTTTAATATCTAGGTCCCTAAACTTGCCCCCCGGGTTCCAACATAGGTCCAAACGGGTTTGGATCTGCTCCATATGCCGATGTAGCATGATGATTCAGCGCTGACATGGATTGGACATGTTCGGTCCAATAAGTAAACATGCACAGCGGTGTCATCTAGGTCCCAAACTTACAACATTGCATATCGCGGTCCCCAAACTTGTTAAATAGGTCACACGAGGTACCTAAACTTGCACGGTAGTGCCATTTAGGTCCCCAACTTCCAAACTTGCTAATCGGGTCACATGACGTCCAAATTATCATTCTTTGCGATAAGCTTCTTGCATGGCTACTGACGGTGCACCTGGCATGTGGGACCACTTGTCATCCCTCCTCTCATCTCCTTCTCCACCCCTCGGGTGTGGCCCATATATCACCCCTCTATTCTATCTCCTTCCCCTCCCTCCTATCACCATTCGGACAATACTCCCTTGCCCTTGGTCCAGTGGCTTCCAGACAACACTTTACAACGAAGCCCCACCAGAGCATGGATACGGCTGCTAAAAGAGCTAAGGGCAAGAAGCGTGGCTCGCCCATGACCGGCGGGCTTGGCCGTGGCCATGCTCAGCGTGTGTGTTGGAGGGCAGGAGGGAGTGTGTGGAGGCTAGCCACCGTCACTTGTCCTGGCGGCGGTGCTTCTTCTGCTGCTCAGAGATGCTGCAAATGTTGTTGGTGGGTTGCTATTGATGCTGGTGTTGGTGCTCAGGCTTCACTGATGCAAGTGAAAATGGTGGTTGCGGCATGAGAGGGAGTGGGAAGGAGATGAGAGAGAGGGATGACATGCGTGCCCCACATGTTAGGTGCACGGTCAGTAGCCACACATACGGCTTATTGCAAACAATGGTAATTATGATCTTGTGTAGCCCGATTAGAAAGTTTGGAGACCTAGACTACGGTTTTAGAAGTTAGAGACCTAGATGGCGCTGCCGTGCAAGTTTAGGTACCTCATGTGACCTACTCAACAAGTTTGGGAACCTCGATATGCAATGTTGGAAGGTTGGGACCTAGATGACATCTATGTGCAAGTTTAGGTAGTATTGGACCGAACAAGTCAGATCCACGTCAGCGTTGAGTCATCATGCCACGTTGGCGTATGGAGCGGGTTAAAACCTATTTGGACCTGTGTTGAAGCCCAAGAAAAGTTTAGGGACCCAGAAATTAAAAAAAATAAATGTTTAGAACTTAGATGACACCGTCTTTCAAGTTTATGGACCACCAACGTATTTTACTCATTCATAAACAACGACCGAGAGCGACGGTTGCGAAGTTTCTATAGTAGTGTAGTTCTCGACAGACTTGACCTCGTGAAGAAAAGTACAGCGTAGAAAAACTTATGGCAGGTTGGCAACCTTTGCCATCATTTCCGCCGTGTTTCCACAGCAATAGACAATTGACATTTCGGCATACATGTCTGAGCAAATGGCTCATATAGCCCTTCACATCGTTGTATAAAAAAGCAAAATGCATATGCTTGGGTCTGGCGGCTGTAATAGATCGACAGACTAGTTTGCTTTGCAATCTCCAAGCAATTCCACCTTACATAAACCACAGATTTTATATAGGCAAAGAAGAAGTTGGAGTTGGAGCTGAGCCGACATGGTGAAGCTCATGAATCGCTCCGTTGTTCTACAACTGCTCCTGCTTGCACTGCTGGGGACACAATCGGTGCTGGCATCGAGCGCGCCCTCCGCCGCCACCCTGGAAGGTTGCCGGACGAGCTGCGGCAACCTAACCTTCGATTACCCCTTCGGCATCGGTGCAGCTGGTTGCTTCCGGGACCCAGACTTCGAGCTCATCTGCAACGACTCTGTTCGACCCCCTATGCTTTCTTTACGTGATGGCATCACCCTGGTGGCCTATAATATCGTCACCATTGATACGGGGTATCGCTACGGCGACAACGACGAAATTGAAATCGCCCTAAACTACACCATCCCCATGAGAAACGGTGTCGATGTATATAATATCTAGTGGAATTCTCCTGGGAAATCCTTTGCTCTGTCTTACGCATGGTTTAATGTCACTGGTTGCGGATTTGACATGTACCTTGATGACAGGGATACTAATACAATTGTGCGCCTCTGCACGCTTACATGTCCTGAGCAAATCACGGAGGCGGTGGCGAGGCAAAACTGCAATGGTACTGGATGCTGCACCGTGAATTTGGAGGCAAATATTCGAGCCTTTGGGCTCAACTTCGTACGACACAACCAGAGCAGTGTCGTTCATCAGGTGCAGCCTAATCGGAGCTCTTTATGGGATTACATAAACGCGACTACACTTGGTGCCGGGCTCACTTGGAACATCATCGATCAACCAAGCTGCTCCAGCGCCAAAGAAAACAATATTACCAACTATGCTTGTGTTGCCAATAACAGCCGGTGTATTGACAACGAAGAATCATTGGATTTCGGGTATTCTTGCCGGTGCAATCCTGGCTACGTTGGCAATCCTTATATTCTCAGTGGCTGCGCCAAGGACACAGGTATCATCTAGATCTATAATTTTTCCATTACAAATATTAATTACAAGAACTATTATTTACGCTTCAGAGTTTAGCTAGATTTGGCTGAGGAAGTAAACATATTTCCTACATAACTGTTAAATCATCTAATATTGAAAAAATTAAACAATAATATTGTATTTGAAGCAACTGTAATGATTAGAACATATATCTGCCTTTCTTCCACCTTAATTTACTATTACTAGGTTTGTAGGTTAATTTTTCTCTCCTTTTTTTCATCGGTTTTCTGGGGACTCAAAACTGCAGCAAAAGTGCAAAACAAACAAACAAACCCACAGTATCAACAATTATTGGACCATCATATCCGTTGGTCATAATTTACCATTAAAATTAAGCCGACGGCTAGCTGTTTTACAAATTGTCATGTCTCACAACGACACCAAATTGTTTTGAGTGTGACTGAATAGTCAGTAGATCAGTACTACTTTCTTTTGTTTTCTTTTATTACTTGCTGTTTAAAACCAAAACCACCATATATGTAGAATCATATGTGGTATGTAAAATATTGGAGATATTACCATGGTACGTTTGTTATATATGACCAGTATGTAGCCCATCAACTCATGCCCAAGCATGCTCTAGAATCTTATGTTACCTAAGTATTAAAAGTTTTCTAGAAAAAATTAGCACGTACAGCTAATCAAAATTATTTATGTCTATTCTATATATTAATTTCCTAACATAAGAACCATTTAGGCCCTGTTTGGCACAGCTCAGCTTCACCGGTGAAGCTGTTTTTTTGTTTGTTTGTTTTGAGCTTAATGAGCAGCTCTACCGGTGAAGCTAAACTGTTTTTCTCTTCCTGTTTGCCAAAACAGCTTCATATGATGGACGAAAAGATCAAATTACCATAGTGCCCTTATCTTATCTTTTTTTATTTTCTATTTTTTTCCAACTCCTTACGGGCATCTCTTCTTCCGCGGCTGTCTTGCTCAAGGGCCGCTCGGCCGCGTACTCGTGTGCCCCCATGGAGGCGACCGCACTGCCCTTCCCGGCGGCCGCGCTCCGGAGGCTGCGAGCCCCCGCGCGCGCCCAGTGGCTGTGAGCCCCGATGGCCGAGCCCGTGGCACCTCTCGGCGAGGGAAAGATCCGTGAGGAAGGAGGAAGATCCCGGCGAGGGCCACGCTCGTGCCCGCCCACGGGTCCGTGACCGTGCGCCTACACCGGCGTCACGTCTGGGCGGCCACGAGCTTGCCCCAGCGGCCGCACGCCTGCCCAGGCGGCGGCGACCCCCGGCGGTCGCGTGCCTGCCAGGCGGCCGTGAGCCTGCTCCAGCGGTGGCCTGCAGTCTTCTAGGCCTACGGTCCCACTTGTGTGAAGTTGGGATGAGCTACTTTTTTCAGCTTCATCCCAACTCATCTCTGTGTGAGAGGAGAGAAAAACAGTTTCACCTTTGAAGCTATTTTAAAAAAAAGGTGCTTTGTAAAAAACAGCGCATAATAACTCATGAAGTTGTTGGTGAAGCTGTGCCAAACATGCCCTTATAAACTCTATAATCCCTATCCTGAAGTGATAAATTTTTCAAATTACTCCAAACACATTTTCATCCTTTGCATTGCATCTCTATGTGCTGTTATGCATTCGGCTGAAACCTTCGCTTTAAGCTATGTAAGCTTGTACTCTATACTTGTATCATGTAATAATCTTATAAGAAAATTTCAAAAATGCTTTTCCAGCATGATCAATACATATATAAGTTCATCACTGGTATACCATATCCTCATTTGTGACCTATAATTATATTTCTATTGGGCTAAAATATGATAACCTACTTATACCATAAGCGCACAATGATGCTGTAAGTACTTTTCCCGTAGAAGTACTTCAAGGCTTAAATATTGAATCCACAATCACATATGTCTAGATGGGCTGTGCTTAGCAGATTGGCCCGAGGCCCGTCCTTTTTGGCACGACACAAGCCTATCGCGGCTTACTACGAGTCCTGCTCGTGCTAGCCCGGCCCACCACCCTGTGCCGTGCTTGATCTGGTGGGGCAGAACGACACGCTAGCGCATGGGCATGGCCTTATTAAAGACAACCCATTTAAGGCCTACTAAACCCTGTATAAAATAAAATAAAAACTTGTTACTTACCTCATTTTCTCCCGCCCAACTACCTCCTCCTATCCCATCTCGCTCAACCACAATATGTGCACATCCCACTATTAGCCCCACTCATACCATTACTGCACAAATCTTAATGGAGGCAGGCCTTTTGGGTTAACGGAGGCGGCCAAAGCAACCACCTCTCGGTTAAAAGATCAACGGAGGCGGACACCTTAAGACAACCGCCTCGATTAATGCCTATTAACGGAGGCGGTCGCCCTACGCAGCCCGCCTCCGTTAATAGATTAACCGAGCTGGTTTCCTTAAGGCGCCCACCTCCGTTAGGCGACTGGTTATTACTTGCTCGCCTCTGTTAATGATTTTCCAAATTAAAAAAAATAGTTTCCATTCAAATTTGAATTTGAATCTGTTTTCGCGAATTAAACACAAACAAAGTAGAAAATATGCATGCATAGCACAAACATAGATATACATATGCCACAATCATTCATGTCTCGTCCTTATCATAACACGAACCAACATTGAAGTTAATTACATGCATGTCATATATGAACATGTGAAACTAAGATCGCCGCTCATTACAACCTAATGAAAAGAGGTCCGGCAACTTGTAATCCTTGACGTGTAGCTTGGTGCTCCAGTTTCTGATGTTCTCGTACTTCTCTTCACTCTCCTCGTTGAAGAGCTTTGCCCCGACATGCACACATCTGTGCGAGATGAATGAACATATGTCCGCTATAGTTTGAGTGAAGTTCTTTTCGGTGACCCTTTCCTTTCGCCACCAATCTAGTGATTTCTTGAGTTGCTTGTAGCTGATGCTGAATTTGCCACACGCTCTGAGGTACTTGCAAACGTAGAATCCACATAATACTGATTCATGAGGTTGTTTGGAGCACTTCACGATATATAATACATAATCGATTAGAACATATAGAGAGCATGCACGATATAATAGCATAAACGAATTTGATACGTACCGGGAAGTTGTGCCTGACTTTCAGTGTTTTGCCATTCTTCTTCTCCTCCTCCTCCTCGGATCTACGATCGGTGGAATCGGGATCCTCCAAGTACTGCCAGTAAGCACTGTACGAAAACCACTGGTGTCAACGACAAATTTAACACATATGTTAAATGTAAAAGAATGAGTACCGTCACTTACTATCTCAATACGCTTTCAAGTTCCTTGTACCCTTCTCTTGGAGTATCCAAAGAGTCGAATACAATGGCCCTTCCATCCTGAGGATAGATTAGAAATGCAATCCAGTGTCCCATGATGCCCTCGCTGCACCATTCAAACAATAAAGATTTCAAATCTTCGAATATATATGAACACTGTTCGCCTAAACAGTTGTTTAGCCCGTTTAAACACCGTGTAAACGTTACACGGTGGTGCACCGTTTCCGTTTAATCACCCGTTTACCCCGTTTAATTGGCTGTTTAGCCCGTTTAATGGGACGTTTTGCCCGAATAATGGCTAAACGGTAGGTGACCGACTGTTTAGCGTTTAGCGTTTAGGAAAACACTGTATATGAAAAGTGGTGATCCTAGTAGCTACATATATGTTCCAAGTATCCTTTTGACTTACGCAAACTGGCGGACAGCAAGGATACACCCATGTTCCCTGACCTTCTTCATGGATCTATACACGTACGCTCCCGCCTTAAACTTGAATTCGTTGCGCAGACGTTTCCGGGCTGCCACTCTCTCTTCTGGGTTCAAGTTCCAAAGATCTTCATGGGTATCCGGTACGTCATAACCCACGATGGTTCTCTGGCTAATGTGCATCGGAGAGAGGTAAATAATTTTTTGGCCCAATTCCTTGGATACATGGGACTACATCCTACAAAGACAAGTCATGGTATTATTAGCTTCTTCCTAAAGTACCTACAGCGATGCAATGGAATTAAAGTCGTAATTCACTTACAGGGCAAACAAGGTGACTTGAGCGATGTCGAGGTCTTTGCGCCGTAGTAGCCTGTGCATGTCGTGGAAATCTACGATGACTTGAGCATTGTCAATCAAGTTGAAGTACTCCTTTAGAACCTTTACAATGAAAGACCGCATGCGCTTCCATGTACTAGAGATGGAACCTCCTTATCTCCCACGACTCCTCTACGAGCTAGCCCACGGGCAACATGAACTTCCCATGCTCGTAGTTTTTGGGGCAATCATCCAAAAGGGGCCAACCCGCCGCTGGTGGCGGCATCCTGTAGTTGAGAGATTCGAGAGTGAAAAAATCTGCTAGCACCTCCGCATATGTTCTACTATGACTATGGCTTCTAGAATCATACCTTTCATACTTAGTTGAGCATTCGTACTCTTTGGCTATTGCGGTGACCGGCTTATTCACCTTGGTGTAGTTAACGGATGTTGTGGTTTGCTCTTCTTGTGTACCCTTTGTCAGCGGGGGAGGACATTGCTTTTTCTGCTCCTTCGAATCACTTGCAGGAGGTATAGCGATGCCCGGTGCTTCCCAAGTATCTTCCTATGGATTGCTCGTGCTGGGAGGAGTGCTCGGAGGAGTGCTTGGCTCATTGCTGTCATCGTCGTCAGAGTCTTGACCCACGAGAGACGGCGAGGGCGGTGACGGATGAAGATCGTTGTCAAAATAAATGTCGCTCCGAGCCTAGAGTACTTCTTTGCCGATACAAGCTCGCAGGTACTTGGTCCCATCTAGAGTTTCTATGTCGATTTCATCATCGACATGTTCCGGGTGGATCCAAGCCACCTTCACCCAGGCATAGTCGGCCGGGATCGGATTGTTATGGTACATGCGTCCCAGCAATGACATTGCCTCGGCCACCACAATCGTTCTTATCACCTTCCTGCCGTAGGGGACCGTGAGGTGGCAAGGCATTGCTTTGATGATATCATCGACCGAGTACCTCCTCGCATCTCCTCCGGTC